AAGTTCTAACGTAAACATGGCATTAAGCCATCGGCTGGTTTCTTCGGAAAAGAACAAAGGAGCGTAGGACCAAAATCGAAATAAGTCAAGTGAAAAAGCTGTAAGTTCAGCCGGGCCGAACTTTGAATATCCTCCACCATTTGAACGAATTTGGCAATTCTCAAAAACAAAAAAAAAAAATTAAAAATTCTGTTAAAATCTTAAAAATACCGAATGTAGCTATTATTTTAGGGTCTATACGACGACATGAACCTGCGTAGGTAACATTTGTCATAAGCCATTACAATATTCAAATGTGAAATTTAAAAAACCGGTTATAATGTCGATAAAATCAAAATAGGCTGTCGTAGACTGTAGTATCCATTACGAACTTTAAATAACAAATTTGAAACAATTCCGGCGAATAAATGTCCCTAAAATCATCAAAATACCGAATATCAGGAGGTACCGTTATATGGGGGCTTTACGAAGAGGAGGACCTGCACAGACAATTTTCTGTCTTAGGCTGTAGTATCCATTACGAACTTTAAATACCAAATTTGAAACAATTCTGGTGAAAAAATTTCCATAAAATCATTAATTTACCGAATATCGGGAGGAACCGTTATATGGGGGCTCTATGAAGACATGGACCTGCACAGACAATTTTCTGTCTTAGGCTGTAGTATCCATTACGAACTTTAAATACCAAATTTGAAACAATTCTGGTGAAAAATTTCAATAAAATCATTAAAATACGGAATATCGGGAGGTACCGTTATATGGGGGCTTTACGAAGAGGAGGACCTGCACAGACAATTTTCTGTCGTAGTATCCATTACGAACCTCAAATATCAAATTTGAAACAATTCTGGTGAAAAATGCCCCTAAAATCATTAAAATACCGAATATCGGAAGGTACCGTTATATGGGAGCTTTACGAAGAGGTGGACCTGCACAGACAATTTTCTGTCCTAGGCTGTAGTATCCATTACGAACTTTAAATACCAAATTTGAAACAACTCCGGCGAATAAATTAGCTAAAATCATCAAAATACCGAATATCAGGAGGTACCGTTATATGGGGGCTCTATGAAGACGTGGACCTGCACAGAAAATTTTCTGTATTAGGCTGTAGTATCCATTAGTCAAAATACCAAATTTAAACTATTCCGGTGAATTATGTCGCAAATCATCAAAATACCGAATACCTACATGGCCCATTTTCAATACCAAACGTCCTGCACACATAACATATATTAGAGCAACATTTTATCAATCTACTTCAATTCGTTCGGAAGCTAGAGTTATTTCCACAGACGGACGGACATCGCTAAATCGACATAGAATTTTATGCTGATCAAGAATATATACTTAGTGTATTTCGAGGTGTTACAAACGGAATGACAAACTTAATATGCCCTCCATAATATGGTGGATGGTACAAAAAAACGTTTATGTATTCTCACCTTAAGATAACATTGGTTTATACCAACTAAGACCTTCATAATGTAGAGAAAGAGAGAGAGGTACGGAGATAAAAGAGACAGCCTCTAGATCAACATGCCTATCAAGCAGGACTGAATAGTATTCACTCGGACGCTGTCACAGCAGTTATAGCAGAATACAGAGTTATACCATACTAGGAGATCACCCTCTTCCCATTTTAGTTTAAGTTAGCACAACCGAGAGCTGGATGGTGCAGCACCCTCAATTCTCAATTGGGCTTGAATTGACAGCAGTACGCAAAACACCTGTCCAGCGTGTGGTAGAGGCACAAATACCCAGCCAAACCGAGTCATCTAACTCCCGTGAACCTACGGACCCAACCGTTTTGTACTTGGAGTTAGAAGCAGAGGCAGCTTAGAGATGATATTAGAATGAACACAACAGATCATCTTCGGAAGTCCCAGGAATCGGTCCCGAAGCCTGCGAAAGCACCCGCGACAAACAAGAGTAGTTTTGGTACAACCGAGATGTGGATGGTGCAGCAGCCTAAATTCTCATTTGGGTTTGAATTGACAGCAGTGCGCAGAACGTCTGCTTAGCCACATAATACATTGCAAGTTTGTCAAATGCCCAGTGAAACGTACTCACCTGACTCCTGTGTCGTTGTGGACCCATCTAATACAGAAGCTACCTGCTTCGAGTTAAAAGCAGAGCCAGATTAGAGAATAATCCAAGTACCAATTACGGTCCCAAGAATTCTTTGTCAGAGAACAATAAAGTAAACAAATTTTTAGCTCATTCGTGAATCTCTGTAGGAAAATCTCGGATTATGCAAATATGGGAATTTGATTGCAAAGACTGGAAAGGAGCCACTACCCCAAAATATCTACGAAATACAGGGTGAGGTGAAGAAACTGCAACCAACTTCAGACTGCTGTCATTTCTAAGCCACTTGTCCGAAAGCTGTTAAAATTATTCCAGTGACAGCTCATTATATAGTTTACAAGCGTAAAAGCATTTTGGGGAGAATTTTCCAGAAAAAAAGAAATCGTGATGGAATTCAAGCGTGATAGTGTGATTTCTTTCTATTTGGCTGGAAAATCACAAGTGGTTATCGTTAAAGCACTCCAGCATTTAAATGTGAATAAATCTTTTGTGTCTCGTACCATCGATCATTACCGTGATACTGGTAGCGTAGCCCAACGTCAAGGAAGTGGACGGAAGAAAACAGTAACATCAGCAGAAATGGTTCGAAAAGTAAAGAAGCGACTTGATCGAATCCCGCGTCGCAGTGGCCGAAAAATGGCTCGTGAGCTGAACATATCGCAATATTCCATTCAGCAAATATTGAAAAATGAGCTCGGGGTAAAGCCATTAGAATTCCAAAAAGTGCAATAACTTACACCGCACTAGAAAGAAAATAGACTTAAAAGTGCTAAGAGTTGCTTCGCTTGGCCGAAAGTGTTGAACTCCCGAATTTGTGTTTCTCCGATGAGAAAACATTCGTTGTCCAGCAGTTTGTAAACAAACAAAATTATCGTGTTTACTTGCCAAAGGGGTCAGCTAAAAAAGTGCACCTTCGGTTGGCCACCAGAACTCAAGCGCCGGCCATGGTGATGGCGTGGGCCGCCATAATAGCCGATGGTCGCTCTCCGCTCGTATTAATCGATCGTGACATCAGAATAAATGCCAAATATTATTGCGAAAATATTCTGGAGGGTGTATTAAAGCCTTGGGCAAACAAACATTTGGTCCACAGACCTTGGATATTCGGACAGCACTCAGCACCATCGCACTCAGCTCGCGCCACTCAAGAATGGTTAAAAAATGGGGTTTCTCGCTTCATTTCTAGCGCACAATGACCTTCAAAATCTCCGGATACAAATCCGTTGGACTATTGTGTCTGGAGTATTTTGGAAAGCAAGGTTGGCACTAAAAAATACCAAAGTGTCGATCACCTCAAGCAAGCGCTTCGCCGGTAATGGGCCAAAGTACCGCAGAGCAACATTCGAGCAGTGTGTGACGGTTTCATTGGCCGTTTGAAGGCTATAATTCGTGCCAAAGGTGACCAATTCGAACAAATCTAAACTTATTTTCAAATTTGATGCTATTTCCGACAGTTTTTACTTTCATTCAAAAAATTTAAAAAAATTAAAAATTGTGGTTTTTGACTTCGTTGCAGTTTTTTTATCTCACCCTGAAAATGTGTGAAATAGGAAGAGAACCGGACTATTATTTAAGAGTTTAGAATCGTTTTGGTTATTCAATAATTTGACCCTTTGTGGGGGAGGTACCAGAGGGTATGGCCTGATCCCTACCATCTTTATAGCAGATCTAGTGTTAATAGAACTATTGAGAAGTGCCATGATGTTAATTTCGGGATTAGGATTTGCAAAGTTGGAACAAAATCGAATTATCCTTTCTTTTTTGTCAGGATTTTTTTTTTAATATTTTCGGTGCCATTTGAAACGAATTTGGCAATTTGCAAAAAAAAAAAAAATCTGTTAAAATCTTAAAAATACCGAATTACGCCTTTTTAGTAGGGTCCATACGTCGACGTGGACCTGCATAGGCAACTTTTGCCAAACGCCATTACAATATTCAAATGCAAAATTTAAAAAATATCGGTGAACAATTTAGCTAAAATCATCAAAAAACCAAATATATAGAGGTAATATTATATGGGCGCTACAGAAGACGTGTACCTGCACAGAGAATTTTCTGTCCTAGGCTGTAGTATCCGTTATGAGCTTCAAACGCCAAATTCGAAATAATTCTAGTGAAAAATGTCGCTAAAATCATCAAAATACCGAAAATCGGTGAGTACCGTTATATGGGGGCTATGCGAAGAAGTGGACCTGCACAGACAATTTTCTGTAATAGGCTGTAGTATCTATTACGAACTTCAAATACGAAATTTGATATAATTCCGCTGAATAACGTCTCTAAAATCATCAAAATACCGAAAATCGGTGAGTACCGTTATGTGGGGGCTATGCGAAGAAGTGGACCTGCACAGACACTTTTCTGTCTTAGGCTGTAGTATCCGTTATGAACTTCAAATACCAAATTTGAAACAATTCCGGTGAATAACGTCGCTAAAGTACCAAAGACTCGGGAGGTACTTAAAATGGGGACCAAAACGTGGCCCATTTTCAATACCAAAAGTCCTGCAGACATAATATACATTACATTTTATCAACCTACTTCATTTCGTTCTGAAGCTAGAGTAATTTCCACAGACGGACGGACATCGCTAAATCGACATTTTATGCTGATCAAGAGTATATATACTTCGTGGGGTCTAAAATGTACATTTCGAGGTGTTACACACAGAATGACAATTTAATACACCCAGGTGGAGGGTATAAAAAACATGACCACATGTAGGGTACTTGCCGCTTGCCATATATAATCAACATCAAAATAGCCAATAACATTGACCAAGATAACGAAATAAATAAATTGATATGGAATATTGGCGAAAATTTAGGTGTTTCAGCGGGCGGAAAGGGCGACTAAACTCAATGGAATTCTTTTTACCTTTTGATTAGTTGCATTGAAGAATTCGATCGATAAAGAAGTTCGCGTTCAGTCGATTTTTTTTTTGTGTTTGCTCCAATATTTACAGCTGTGTTGCGACGTTGGCGAACAAACGTCGCCAAAATAAAAAAAAATCGCTGCAAAAATTTAATTTCTGTACGTCCGATTGGTTTATAAATCTATATTTCGTTAACAAAAAGAAGAAGAAAATAATAATAATCTCTTGTAGTTATTAAAAGCACGATATGTGTCAATAAAAGTGATTATGAAATAATAGTATTTATATTTAACATTGAAAAAAAAAGTTAATTGTTTTCCAAGAATATTTTAGTATTTGAATAACTGACGAATTGGGACATTAATAAAATGTGTCATGTGTGGAAGAAAGGGGAAGGGGTAGATAGACCCCCCGCCCAAAGATAAGTGAGATAAACGGTTGTATATAAAAAAAATTATAAAAGTGTAGAAACCAGCTTAATTATTTATTCTTCACTTGGGTGTGCGTGGAGTTTGCCGGAACTTTGCAATATGTTTTGTGTAGCTGTCTGCCATTTGTAAACAAATTAGTTTTTGGTAAATGTATTTCAATTGAATTCGATGGAAAATGTCTTCCCTCCTGATTTTGGAAAAAAATATCAAGTTAGAAAGCATGATGACGACAGACCATTGAAGGCGATTTGGTGCCTTTAAAGGCAGATTGGAAAATCATGTCCATTGTGGCCATGAAATTATTTCTTAACCCCAACTTCCTCCTGACTTCCAACCTAACACTACTTTACGACCAAAAAGTACTCCCATTTTTAACTCCCATGGATTCCAAGGAATCTTAAACATTCTATTTCGTAATTTTTCCTGCCGGCAAGAATACAGTGCGAAGAAAACAATTTTCGAAATCAAAATATCAACACAACAGTAAAATGACGATAAGAAGTAGATATATATAATGAATAGATTATTGAAACGATTACATATTTATATTTCGTTGTTTTTTTTTTTTTTTTTTTTTTTTTTGAACAATTGACGTGCCTTTATCTATCATTATTGTTGTAGTTGTTGTACTGTCATCGTTAATTAAGGTGGTTTTTTGTTTAATTTTCATCAATAAAATAATGTGTTGTATCGATGGGGGATGTCAATCCCAAAAATGTTAGTGGTTTCTGCGTCTGAAATAACAATCAAAACGTTCGGGGCTGAAACGTTCGAAGTTCTTCAAATCAAGCTATATATATATATAGAACATAAATTATGACCCATAATTCAGTATTCGTTTCTTGTTTGTTGTTTATTTACTAAAAATGCATTTACAACATATAAACCAGTAAAGAAAGTCTTAAAGTCGGTCGGGGCCGACTTTATGATACCCTACACCACTTTGCTAATTTAGTATAGCTCCACATAACAATTAAAAGTTTTTATGGAGAATTCAATCATACACCCCATGATTATTATTATAATTTAAAGTTCAAAGGGCTAAATATGCCGAAGCATTTGCATCTTTTAAATTCGGACTTTTATTACCCATTTGGTGCACAATTAATTTGAAATCGGATAAATATATATATGGGAGCTATATCCAAACCGATCTCGATAAAATTTGGCAAAGATATTTCTGAGCTGCATTTGATATATTTTTTTAAATATGGTTGTTACGGAGTGCATATTACGGCTGTGGGTAACAAATATGAAAAATCGGATGAACAGTATATATGTGAGCTATAGCTATATCTGAACCGATCTTCACCAAATTTGGCATACTAGCTTCTAGACTCAATTCGGTCGTAAGTGCCAATTTTCATTCAATTTGGTACAATAAAAGGTAAATCGGACGAAGTTACATATATGGGAGCTATATCCAAATCTGAACCGATCTCGATAAAATTTAGCAAATGTATTTCTGAGCTGCATTTGATATATTTCCCCAAATATTGTTGTTGCAGAGTGCATATTACGGCTGCGGAGGACAAAAGTAACTAATCGGATGAACAATATATATGGGAGCTATAGCTATATCTGAACCGATTTCGATCAAATTTGGAATACTTATTTTGAGGCCTAATTTGATTGTATATGCAAAATTCCACACTATTCGGACTGATATTACACGTTTGGTGCACAATAAAAGGCAAATCGGACGAAGATATATATGGGAGCTATATCTAAATTTTGACCGATTATCCCCAATTTCAATAGGGCTCGTCCTTGGGCCAAACAAATGATTTGTGCAAATTTCATCTGGATAGGGCAATAAATGCGAACTGTACTTTGTTTACAAATATACATGGACAGACGGACGGACAGACATGCATAAATCGACTCAGAATGTGATTCTATGCAGATCATCAAAAGGAACTATGGGTCTATCTCGTTTCCTTTTGCCTGCACAAAGACATAATACCCTGACCACCTTGTGGTGTAGGGTATAAATAGTATCAGTTTGTTTTTCCGACAGATGTACACCCCCAGCCTTGAGTTATGATTATTCAAACTGTTGAGCCTTTATGGGGGAGGTTTCGAAGTTGGCCAATATTGTCCAATTCGTATCTGACTTAATACTGATAAAAATATTACAACGTGACAGATTTGGACTATATCGACTACTTCCTGTGCTTTATATAAAATATTCGTAAATTTTTGGAAATTGTGTAAATATGCATGAAGATTCAGATATAGCGGACCGAAGTATTTCACTTCATTTAATAGAGATAAAAAATTGGTATGGGGAAAATTCAAAGAAAATCGAACATCTATATCCAATTTTATGCGAATTCTTATAAATGCCATATTCATCTCAGGTTTCTGTGTGAGAGAAATATTTAGATATGGCAGATGTAAGTATTGGAAATTGTAAACTTTTTGTGGGTGAGGTATCAGAAGGAGTCCGCAGATATATATTATTTTCATAAGTGATCTTTTTTGTTGCAAAAATGTTTGTATGTGTAAAATTTGAAGAGATCTGATGCTTATTTATCTTTCTTTGAGGGTTTTGTTTTTCAATATCTTGAACCCTTTGTAGGCGAGGTTCCAGAAGAAATGATCCAATCTCTACCATACTTTTAACAGATCTTGTGTTGACGAAAACAATGAGATATGCGAAGTCTGACTGGAATCGGATGTTAATTTCGCGTTTTATAAGTTTTACGGATATTCAAAATTTTGACCCTTTGTGGGGAAGGTACCAGAAACAGTGGACCGAAGCAGTGGGAGTATCCGATTTGGTCCAAACTTGGTACATCATAATATTACTCGTATTATCAAAGTTAGATCGAGTTCGGAGAAGGGCAATATCGGTCCCACCCTTCTGGTATTTCAAAATTAAAAAAAAATATATATTTTACTGCACAGAGAGAGAAAGGATAATGTGATTATGCTCCAAGTTTGCAAATTCAAATATTTGAATCAGTGCTAGGTCAGGGGAGAATATCAGTCCACTCCATCTGGTACCTCCCCCATAAAAGGTCAAAGAAAATAATTTACCGGATAGAAAGAAAACAAATAATCTGATTTTGCGCAAACTTTACAAATCGTGATAATGTCTAAAACGCTTATAAAATTCGAAACTTTAAGCAGATTTTTCTTTAAATCTCACACATACCAATATTTTTATCATTACAAAATCGGGTGTAAAGATGGATATAACAGACCTGTCCTTCTTGTACCTCCACTGCAAAGGTTCAACATTTTGAGTAACAAAACGCTCATAAAATGCGAAATAAGCATCCAATTATTATATACTCCACCATAGTATGGAGGGTACATAATATTAAAATTTTAGACGCCACAAAGTATATATATTCTTGATCAGCATAAAAATCTATGACGATTTAGCGATGTCCGTCCGTCCGTTCATCTGTGGAAATCACTCTAGCTTCCGAACAAGTTGAAGTAGATTGATAAAATTTTACTCAAATGTATATAATGTCTGCAGGACTTTTGGTATTGAAAATGGGCCATGTAGGTTCACGTTTTTGTATAGCCCCCATCTAACGGTACCTCCAGATATTCGGTATTTGGATGATTTAAGCGACATTATTCACCGGAATTGTTTTAAATTTGTTATTTGTAGTTCGTAATGAATACTACAGCCTATGAAATAAAATTGTCTGTGCAGATCCACCACGTCTTCGTATAGCCCGCATATAACGGTACCTCCAGATATTCGGGAATTTGATAGTTTTATCGACATTATTCACCGGAATTGTTTTAAATTTGGTATTTGTAGTTCGTAATGAATACTACAGCCTATGAAATAAAATTGTCTGTGCAGATCCACCACGTCTTCGTATAGCCCGCATATAACGGTACCTCCAAATACTCGAATATTTCCAGTTTGGTATTTGAAGTTCGTAATGGATACTACAGCCTAAGACAGAAAATTGGCTGTGCAGGTCCACGACTTCGTATAGCCCCAATATACCCCATATTCGGTATTTTAATGATTTTACCTACATTATTCGCAGATTTTTTTGAAGATTCGCGTTTGAATATTGTGATGGTTTATGACAAAAGTTACCTATGAAGGTCCATGTCGTCTTATAGACCTTGTATACAGTCTTTTTAAGATTTTTAATTTTTAACGGATTATATTGTTTTTGAGAACGGCGAAATTCGTTCCTAATGGTGGAGGGTATTTAAATTTCGGCCCGAACTTAAAGCTATATTATTGTTTTTTTTTCACATTTGAATATTGACAAAAGATGCATATGCAGGTCCCCGTCGATATATAGACGAACTTTTAACGGATTTTAATTTTTTTTTTTTTTTAAATTGCTAAATTCATTCCAAATGGTGGAGGATATGCAAAGTTCGAACCGGCCGAACTTACAGCTTTTTCACCTGTTTTTTTTTTTTTCTTCTAAATTATCTCAAACATGGGATTGAAGCCCGGCGACTGGAGAGATGAATTAAGTTGAAATTATAGAAAGATGGATTAAATATTTTCTAGTATACTCGTACATAAATATCGGTCTATAGTACTTTCTATAAAAACCATCACACTACCACCACCGTGTTTAACTGTAGGTATCATATATTTGGGATCTAGTGCCGTGTTGGATTTTCTCCAAACTTTTGATTGACCATCACTTACGAAAATGTTGAATTTATTTTCGTGGGTAAATACAGGGTTGCCCATATTCGACGGATCCATCTGGCAACGCCATAACTTTTGACAGAGATGTCACATCGCTTAATGACATACCGCGTTTGAAGAGTCAGTCCAAGCAGATTTTTACCATGAATCAATACACGCCACGCGAGCTCTCTGAAATAGTTGAAATTTACATTCAACAGAAGAAGTCAATTGTGAAAACTCAACGTGCTTTTAAAAACATTAAAAAATGTGAGAAGTGCGCCTTCTAAGAACACCATTAAGCGTTTATACGAAAAAGTGTTGAGAGGTCCCCAGCAGTTGGGCATGGCTCGGTCCGCTTTACAACGGATTATTCGCATTGATTTGCATTTGGTCCCGTACAAAATTCAATTGACGCAAATAATGTTGCCTGCGGACAAGCCTCGTCGATTGGAATGGGCCCATAGATCCGTCGAATATGGGCAACCCTGTAGAATGCAAATCCAATAATCAATATCCTTGTCGATATGTAATTCGGCAAACTCGAGGTGAAGTTTTTGGGTTTCTCCGAAGTTAGCGGTTTCTTACATGCTACTCTACTTCTAAATCCATTTTCATGTAGCACATTTCTTAAAGTTCTCGGACGGACTATTTTTCCTAACATTGTTCCACATGTTTCGCCATTTTGGCAGCATTTATTTTTGGATCTTGACGTACTTTCTTGAGAATACCGCTAACATTTTGTTTGGACAACTTTTTCGGCCTACCGCTTTCATTATAATTTCTTATTACAGTTTGCACCGTTGAATGGCTTAAATTACAAGTTTGGGGATTTTTCCGTATGATTTATTTTTTTACGTAGCTTTATTAAATTAAAATTCGAGTTTTGATTTAAATTAGTTGGTGGCATTGAATCCTGAAAATCACTTTCAAAATCCGAGTTTTGATCTAAATTAGTTGGTGGCGTTGAATTCTGCAATAATTTTTGAACTACTTTAGTAAGCGACTCACTATATCGATGGGTGACACATGTACTACGAGAGAATCTCGATATTTTCGGCGTAAGATTACCTTTCCAATTCTACCATGATTATTGACAAACATTCATATCAAAATGGTGGTTCCATAAAAATATTTGGAGCCTACGTTTTTCTCCATAATTACTTAAATATTTTTTTTTCTCATTTTCAGAACCCGAGTCATTAATAGCTTGCGCTCGCGATGGACGATATAAACAGTCGTAAAAATTTCCAACGCAATCGTACCTTTGCCAAATATGAACAACGTCGTTGGAGTGTCTTAAACGATAATCATTCAAAGTCGGAATTGTATATGAACAACATTGGCTCCAAGGCAACACAAGATGTATCCACTTCCAACATGGATATATCCAAAACTTCAATTATGGAAGAGAAATCAGAAATGCGTTTAAAACCCCTATCTATGGGCGACAAAAATCTATCAACCAGCTCTCCCATGCTTGATAAAACTTCTCAAGAGGGTTGTGTGACACCCAAAACACCGGAACCCTCTCTCTTGGGTGTTAAGGAAAAACTTATTCTCTTTGAAAAGAAATTAAAATCGGATGTTTGGATAAGTTTTACGGCAGCCAGAGGCAAAGGAATTGAAAGGGGAACAAATCTACGGAAATTTATTTCAAAATGGGAAATTGGTCCAACGAAGCCAGCTGAGAAATCTACTTCGACATTTTATCTTAATTCGGAGGAGGCGAGAGAGCCGGAGAATGGGGCGAAGATTGGCAGGCACAATTGGAATTCCACGCTATGTTTGAATACGTATCAAGGCAAATCGGAGAAAACGGTTAATGTTTTTGAAAATCACGGTTTTTCTTATGAATTAGGAAACAAGCAGAATTCTGCTGGAGAACCCAAAACTGAGGACATTGGTAATGGTAGGATTGACGCTGAAGTTGCTAGCTCTTCATATATGTTTGATACTACTGTGGGACTTAATACTGAAGTGGAAAACTTGTCTACAAAAACCAAATCAATAGAATTTCTGAAGTAAGTTGACCCAGCTTAACCCTTCATTAGATTTAGGAACGTTTGAGTTCTGCTTTTAATTAAGGACCTATTGTATTCTTGATTTAGTAAAATGTACACAACAACGGAACAAAAATCTCAAACATTTGGAGATTTTGAAAATCGCGAGGAGATTAAGACTCGAGAAGAAGAAAAACAGGAATCTAAATCAGAAAAAGAACAACTAGAATCTGGGGCGGAATATCAAAAGGAACCTGATACAGCTGAAGAATCTAATGATATTGCAGAAAAATATTTTTCCAATAAATTGAACGATACTCAGCAGATTGAATCGAATATTGAAGTCAAGAGTATGAAAAGGGAAGAGTCAGTCAAGTAAGTATCCTTAATTTTATTCAAGATGATGGGACTATAAATATTCTGTTATTTCGTTTGTAGAGAAACCCAGACACCTAGTTCTCCAAATAACTACGAAAATGAAAGGGATTTCACAAGGAAGTTAATAAGAGAAATAGATTCAATTAAATATCTGGGGTGAGTAAATTTAAAAAAAGTTGTTTCGTGGAAAGATTTTTGTGAAAAAGTCTTTTCGAAGTTAGTCTACAAGTTTACATCATAGGAGCATAATAGAAGAGACTATATCTGACAGAATACCAGAAAAGAATATTGTTGCATTGCCCGAAATACTAATCCCGTAAATGCTGTGACCCGAAAAATGATGGACTATGCTTAATCAGGTTGAAGTCGAGGAAACCCCTGATGAAAGACCGAAACAGTTCTGCGAATCGATTGCCTGAAATGAGTATGGCGAAAAATACCATTCGAACCCTCTTATAGCTAGTTCCCTCCAAAGTTTTCCACAGGATAGCTGGTGCATTAAAAATTATGTAAAATAATATTATCTGGTAAGGCGGAAGATTAGAGGACTTAGGGTCTAAAGTATTTTCGATGCTCTTTTCAAAAATGAACACCATAAAGTTGCATCCTTGGTTATTTTCCCACAGTAAGCCAAAACCAAATTACCCTCAGAGTTACCATATGAAATATATGTCTGGCCCCTGTATGATTTCCACATGGGTTTGGTTTATCAAAATAAATGATCCAGAGTATGCCATCTCAAAGTAAAGGTGAGAATACATAAAACGCTTTTTCGACTGGCTTCTTCGTAGAGGAACAAAGGAATTTTGGGTTGTATTTGTTCGATGTTGGTCCTAGGCTCCTTTGTTCTATTCCGAAGAGGCCAGCCGATTACTTAAGCCAGTCAAAAAACGTATTATGTATTCTTAGCCTTCCTGCATCATGGAAGGTTGAAAGTTTGGGAATAACTCGGAAAGGAAAATCCGTTTATAGAAGATCTGAAAATGAGTTTGGTACTAATAACAAATCAAATGCCATACTTATCTAAGAAACTCGACATTAGGACAATAAGACTGTAAATATATGGGTACCAGGTCATACATTTAATCCCGAATTAAGAGCAAATTATCTGACTGTAATGCCAGATTTTGGAAAACATAAATCTAGAAAGTACAATGCCTTTCCACCTGGCAATACCAAAGTTCAGGCGAAGCACGTCGATATATACCTATGCAAACAGCTGGAGCATACCATCAAAAATTTATATTTTTCGATGGATTCATACGCTATCCAGTTCACAGGTAAGTGCCAACCTTCGGGTTAGTCCAAAACAGGACCTAAGAGCACCTCCATTTGGAGGGAAGAGATCTCAATCTATATAGGAAAGGAATTTGGTGGGAAAAGATCCATTTGGTGGGAAGAAAACCCAACTCGTATAGGGAAGGCATATGTAATTAGTAACCTTATTATCTGTTTGTAGATAAGTTATCTTTCTTTAACAGTCAGTCCATCAGTATTATTTATAGCACGCTGGTCCAAAAAAAAACCCTTGACTTTCCTATATATAGTCAATATGTCTAACAAATTCAAAGTTGCTATGTAATATAACCCCAAATATTTAATCGGCTCTGAATTGCGGATTTTGTTGGCCTCTAATTGCGAGATTTGGCATATAAAGGACCTAAGGATCAGCCTGGTGGCAAAATATTCCAAATCATGTAGGGAAGGTATATGGAAATAGCAACCTTATTATATATTTGTAGATAAGTAATCTCTCCTAGCAGTAAGTCCACCAATATCACTTATTGCACCCTGGTAGGCCCAATAAATACCCTTAATTTTTTTTTATCAAAGTTGCTATGCAATATAACGCCCAGGTATTTAATCTGCTCTGAATTGCGCATTTGTTGACCTCAAATTGCAAGATTTGGCTTATACTGTCTGGCACTGCGGTGCAAGTACTTTATTCTTGTGCTTGAAGGTATTCGCTTCGAATTTGTCTAAATTAAAGAGCATTTTGCAGGTATTGAAATATTCGGAAAGTTGATATTTAATCTACTCTGAATTGTGAATTTGTTGCCCTCCAATTGGAAGATTTGGCTCATACAGGTCCTAAGAATCAGCCTGTCAACGGATCCTCTCTATTTGATGGGAAGAGATTCCAAATCGATCAGGGAAGGCATATGGAATTAGTAGCTTTTTTATCTGTTTGTAGATAAGTAATCTTACCTTTACAGTAAGTCCACCAGTATAAGTATTTTTTTTTTCAAACGGCACGATTAAAGTTTGGACGAAGGTCAATATATACCTATGCACCAGCTGGAGCTCAGGGAAATACAAAAAGGAAAACTAATTTTGAAAATACAGAAAATATATTAAAGTTTTTATCATACGATATTAATCACATTATTCTTTTTCTTGTTTCAAAATTTGCAGTTCCGCCGAAATTAAAGATGATATTTCGGCAAAAGATTTTAAGAATCAAACCCAATCGCCAACAATTTCGTCGGATCCAATTGCATTGCCTTTGATTGGAAATAATTACACACATCCACCACTGTTTGAATTTTCTACGAGTAAGGGCGAAGTTAGAAATTCTACCAGTCAGGAAGTTGACAATTTGTCGGATGCTGATCAATATAATAAACCATTGACCCCAACAACACCGAAGAAAGAACAAGTTATAAACCTAGAGCCAGAGAATGTGATTCTGACGAACGCATCGGATTCAAAATACAAAAGGTGAATATATATTCGAACCCTTTATGCCAGAATCGTATGTGAAATGAATTTTTTATATTTTACCTTTTTGAATGCATTCAGGAAATGTTTAAGCTCTCTTACAGTGCTTTATTGAATAAAGTTCTAGGTTCAAGTTCATAAAAGCCTCTTTTTACTGACTTAAGTCATCGACTGGCTTCTTGGTAAAAGAATAAAGGATTTTTAGGTTGTCTTGGTTCAATTTCTACCCATAATTTATACTTGTTAACCAAAAGCTTTTTATTCTATTACGAAGAAGCCAGGCGATGACTTTAGTAAGTCAAAAAAAACCTTTTATGTTATCTTACGTTTAAACTTTACTGAGTTCACACTATACCTATATTTATAGTTATAATGATTTCATAAAAAGGTGATAAAAACTGCAGCCCCCATCGTTTTATTATTAAATATTTTAAAGCCATTTAAATCTGTTGTTCAATCTACTTAGTTTCTAATGTTAATTTTACTTATAACTATTTAATTTATGAATAAGCTACTATTTACAATATATACAGATGGATCATACACCGGTTATTGCGACACCTTATAGACAGGTTCTAACTCGAGCATCCCAAACCTTTGACGATAGGAGAGAAGCTTCTCTCTGTAGAGAATACCTTTATCATTCATCTTTAGTTATCTACTCGGTGGCCTACAATTGGGCCGATTTTGCCTTCACACGTCTGTGCCGTGCACCAGGCTTTTTCTCACTTACTTACGGATGCAGCTCTGTTTGGGGAAATTTAGAGCGCTTGCATTAAGAAATTTATTTATTTGACCAAAGTCGATGAATTCTTATACTATTAGGTATTGTCAGGTAAACGACAGGTTTCATCTCATCCCTGGTTTCGCATTACGTCTAAATAGGATCTGAGAACTAGTGTATCAGCGGAGCTTCTCTATTTGGTGGGAAGAGATCCCAAATCATATAGAGAAGGCATCTGGAATAAATAATCAGCCTGTCAACGGAGTCTTGGTAATTGGTGGGAAGAGATCCCTAATCACATAGGGAAGGCATATGGAACAAGTAAACTTATTATCTGTTTGTAGATAAGAAATCTTACCTTGACAGTCAGTCCACGATGGTAGACTCAATAAATGCCCTTGACCTTACCTAACAAATTCAAAGTTGCTATGCAATGTAACACCCAAATATTTTATCTGCTCTGAAATTTGAATATGTTGCCTCTCTAATTGCGAGATACAGGACCTAAGAATTAGCGGGGACTTTCTACTTGGTAGAAATAGATCCCAAATTAAATAGGGAAGGCATATGGAATTAGCAACCTTACTATCTGTTTGTAGATAAGTAATCTTTTCTTTAAAAGCCATGTCAGTCCACCAGTAGCATTTATAGCACGATGGTAGACCTAATAAATAGCAATGACTTTACCTAACAAATTAAAGTTGGTATGCAATATTTAGATATTTTATCTGCTCTGAATTGCGAATTTGTTGCCCTCCAATTGCAAGGCCTTGCCTGGAGCTGCCATATAAGTATTTATTCGCTTGAATGTAGGAGAGTAGTTCCAAATATGTGTTCCGGCCGCAGCGACGAATATTTCATCTGCATATGTGTGATACACTCGCATTTATAGCTTCTATTTTATGGAAGTTTCGAGAATCCTATACTAAACCATTAATTTATGAAAAATTGATCCGTGATTAATCCGTTATGTTTAAAGTTATTTAGGGTAAAAGCGTAATTTTGTATTGATGAAAAAATATAACGATCTCGATTATGGATTATGAGATATATTTTGTTCGACTTTTAAATTCTTATACGATCTAAGTTCAAAATGGTTCAATGCGAAAAAAATAAATATTAAAAAAAACTTAATATTTCCGCACGAAAGACCTTTACATTTGATTATTAGAATGCTGCATTTCAATTAATTGCTTCAATTTCCGCTTTTTCAGTACCGGTAATCAATTGGATTTGAATAATGGATTGGAAAATTCAATTTATGGGAAGAACGGCGGAAATGCAACTCAAAAAAGTTTCCTATTTCCCATTTCTGTACCAAAGGTACCAGAGGAAGTTCGTAACAAAAGATTCCTGACGCCGGCTTTCATTAAATTTATGGGCTTAGATGATGAGTCGGAGAGTGAAGAGAAAAAGGCTACCAAGTTACAGACGAATAAAGAACCGCAGAGTGCTGAGAAGACACTCGACAATTTACCAAGGGCGGAAGAAGCTGAAATCAAGGAAGAAGTAGACCTAATAACGAGGTAAGAGATTAGGGAAAATATTAATAATGGAATTGTTTGCGATGTTTTGCTATAGATTGCAGCTACAGAAAATTTAATTTAGCAATACGTCTTAAAAATATTTTATTTCCAGTCAAATCGATACTGTTTCAGTGAACGATACAGTATCAAACAAAGCCACAGAACAGCAAGCAGAGCAAATTATTAAAGCGCTACCAACTGAAATAAAAATCACCAAGAAGGAGAAGACTCTACCAGAACATTTGGAACGAAGGAAGGAAATTAGGCGAAGGAAAAGGCCCAAAACCATTGCAAGGTAAAATATTAAAATTATAATAATTCAAATTATTTTACTTTATTAATAACTTTTTTCAGTTGTCAACCCAGCAGGGATCAGATGGGAGCAGATAAAGAAAATGTGACTGAATTGGAATCCAGGAGAAAAGATTTTGCAAGGTAAGGCTAGTACAAAATATTATGCCAGAGACAATCTTCAAACATTTTGGTGTTTTTTAATAGCAAGCAAAGAGTTTCCTTCGAAGACCAATCTCAGCCTTATGGAGAAGATGACGATGATTTTCAGCAGAATGATTTCGCAAGTCCTGTAATGTTTACAAATAAAATTTCTTCCCGCAAGGAAGTTCCTATGGTAGTTAGCAAAAGGGATTCCATCAGCGAGTTGCAAACGAAAACTGTAACGGATGAGTTGTTATCTGAAGTCGGTAAAAGACCCAAGCGCAGGCATATTACCAGGTTGTGGAAACACATTCCTTAAAAGTCCGTAGAAGTGACAAGTTTTCTTTTTATTTTTCAACAGACAACAAAGCAGAGATGATCAAAGTATAGGGGCGAAATATGTTGAAAGGAAGCAGGACATTGATGATGATTCAAGGTGAGTTTTTTCTGGAGAACATTTGCGACCAAGTGACAATAAAAACAATTGATTACGGATAAGTGAAAAGAAAATAGCGCGGTTACCTAGTGTAGATGAGAGAGAGAGAGATATATATATATTGAATACAGTCCCCATTAAATAGGCGGTGTGGTGATTAGACATGTGTGCCTTACGTATCTCTTTCTCTCCTTCTCTCTTTTTCTTTTAACTCTTAGGGAATATTTTTATTTAAATAGTGCATTACAACCACTCAATGACGTTTATATCTTTAAAATCGACCCCAGTTTCAAATTGGTCCTTCGAGTAGCATCGTTTGTCATAAGCGTAGTTTGGTTTTAGACGTTGAAGAATATGCCTCGGTAAGGAGGATATTCAGTCGACAAGACACTAAAAGTAATCCTTACGGGTATGAAATTGAGTGTAGCCAATTGCACTGCTGCTTATGGCTGGAATTGTTTTCAAGGAAAGGAGTTTGTCGACTAACATGCTGCGTCAGAAAGAGACTACATCAAAAAGGTAGAAGTAGCGAATATTCTGGAAATAATGTGTACTATTATTAAGAACGGAAGAAGCTAAAGATGACGTTTTTAAGTTCGGCACAAAAAAAGTTATGGACGAGGCAAGGGATGTAAAATAAGATTAGGAATGCTACTATACAAGTCTAGACTAGCTGTTGCTATCAGAGAAACACAGCAGAATGCTGTGATACTCGGAATATATACATGAAACGTCAGGCCTTCCTGGAAGTCATACAGGCAAAGATAAGAAAAATAGAAGGTAATGGGAAGGAAGATGCCTTCAAAATTGTCAGGAATCTAAAAAAAAGGTCAAGAATGCTCTGTGCGTAGCCGAGGGAACTAAAAACTTTGTTCCATTATGAAGAAGCCAGTCGATGACTTAAGCCAGACAAAAAAAAAACATTTTATGTCTTCCCACTATAATTGATTTTTTGTCTAACGGGTCGGGTTGGCTGCAGGACCAGCGAAGAAACAGAACGTGATTATTTCACTCAGTTTCTTCATTAGTAACGACCAACAAGTTGGAGTAAAATATTCAAAAGAGGAATCAAAGCAAAAATGTAAAGGAAGATGCCTTCAAACTTGTCACAAATTTGAAGGAGAAAGTCCAGAATGCTCTGTGTGTTGCCGAGGAAACTAGTGGCTAACCAGGAAGCAGAGCGCAAGGGCAAGGATTTGAAGACAGTAGTAAGACAACTTAGTGATTATTTGTCTAGCTCAAAGAGAGCACTATTTGCAGCTGAAACCGAAAGTGACGAGTTGGCTGCAAAGCCAGCGAAGAAACAGAGCGTGATGAGCTCACTTCGAATATGGTAATATAATTGAAAATACAGGCAAAGACGAAAGAGTTGCAGTAGAAGACCCGATTACTGAAGTTGAAGTACTTGAGGAAGAAACATAACCAAGTTTTGAAGACTTGAAAGGACAATTGTCAACCACTCAAGAGTCCACGCGGGAAAAGAAGAAAAATGTCATACTCATGACGAAACGGAGAAGGACAGAATAAGGTATTAACTGTACGCCAAAGAGATGAAGACGAAAAGGTTGGCCATTTGCGACGATGGAGGCACAACTTTACAGAAAGATGAAGATGCCTAGTGGAAGTGGTGCAGCTAGAAAAAGGCGGGCTAGATCGACACAAAAAGTTAGTGTAAAAACATAACACGTTGAGTTCACTTCGAATGTAGAAGAAAATATCAGCAAAGACGAAGGAGTTGAAGTGAAGACCTCATTACAGAAGTTGAAGTATTTGGGGAAGGAACAGAATGAAGTCCTGAAGACTTGAGAACTCATGACATATATGGGTAGAAATCAAGGATGCCAAATAGATGAAGATAAGAAAATGAATGGTCTTCTACGACGTAGGAGACACACGCTGTCAGGAAGATGCCTGGAGGAGGTTGTGCGGCTAAAAAAAGCATGCTGGAGTGACCAAAAAAAAATAATCGTGATGAGTTCGCTCCCAAGTTGAAGCACTTGGGGAAGAAACAGAATCAAGTCCTGAAAGCTTAAAATTACTATTGTCAACCACTCTAGAATCCAAGTGGCAAAAGAAGCCAAATGTCATACTTATGGGGAAATGGAAAAGAACAGAAATCAGGGATGAACTGTATGCCAAAGAGATAAAGACGAAAAAGGATGGTCATCTACGAACCTTGAGTAATTATAGGATGAAGGAAGCACTAGTTGTCAGGCAGATTCAGATGCCTAGTGGAAGTAGTGCAGCTAGAAAAAGGCAGGCTGGAGTATATAGGCTCGAATATTGCCGAAATTTCTAGCAAAGACGAAAGAGCTGAAAGATGCAGAAAGAAGACGACATATGAAGAGAATTCTGCCTGGAAATTGGAGATGGCTAGACAAATAAGTTAGGATCTTTTAAAAATACCACAGGGAAATAAGGGTGCTTTACTTAACATATTTTTCGTTAATCAATTTAATTTTTTAAAATTTTTTCCCCTACCAAGAACGTTCATTGATAAGTGAATCTGTTTTTGCAATAAAAGGTATCTGTCCATTTTACACTTAATGTTAAGTTAGGTTAAGTCATATTATCGTAAGGAGTTCTTAAGGAATAAATATTAAGTGCATTGCAAATACCCAATGAAGAAGGACGTTTTATGTCTTTAAAAAGGATCCCAGCTTGACAACAGCCGTTCCATTTTTTGGAATTCTGGAGTTAAATTTATGTGTTTATTTCTGTGCTCGATTGTCACAACCATTAATGCACTAATTAGGTTAAATTTTCAAATTTCAGCAAAACAAAGTCCCTGGTTATCATTAAAAATGGTACATATCAAACTATGGATCCGCCTTCCGACAAATACCATTCCCTTAAACCTGAGCCGAGGTAAGCAAATCGTTAGTTTTTTTCATGGAACACTTTCATTTCCAAATTTCTGAAATCTTCAGGCCCATTGAGGTGTTACCATCTGCGGAATTCTGTGCGAAGGGTATGGAACACATACAACCCATATTGGAGGAATTAATCAAAACCGAGGAGTCCTATGTCGAAAGTATCTGGAAAGGTTTGAAAAACTATGGCAATGTATTCGAACAACGTGATCTTCCCAGAGGAATGAAGGGTAAAAAATATGTGCTCTTTGGAAATATTGAACAGATTGCCGAATTCCATAGAGATGTTTTCCTGCCAATGCTGTTGAGGAATCGCAACAATATCAAGAAATTATTTGATGAGTTTCAACGATATATTGAGGTAAGAAGGATATAATGTCGTGTATTTTGGGCATGGGGAGAATTATAATTTCGTAAGGTGGCAAGTCACCTTATTTTATTCAAATCGGAATGAACAGGCTCAAGAATGTGCAGGTACAATTAAACTCACTGACTTTAAGTTGTGATTTGAGGTTGATAGATTTAGAAGAAAGCAAGAAATATTTAAATCTCTCGAATATCAGGTTGGGAAAGGCATTGTTTAAATCAGGAAAGGGTGGGATTTATTTCTGAAAGCGACGAATTTATCGGTATTTTGGAGATTTCTCACTCTAAAATGAATTAAGAATTCACCAAAAAGGCCCACTGAACTAGTCTGACAAATAACGTAACCTTCCATTAAGTTCAGACAACCTCCCCTTTATCGTCGCCATCAACTGACCTCCCGACTTCATAGACTCCGAATGCCGCAGTTTCCTTAACCATGGGAAAGTCAAGAATTCAGAGAATATGTCAATCGCAGCTTCAGAAAACTGCCTAAACCATGTTCAGGTACCAGATGGATGTTATATCTGCTGATCGAATACTTGAAATAAGACCTACTTTCCCAGCAGAGGTAGCGGGACCTAATAATTCTAGAGTCAGGGAACGAACTCTGGAGGTAAACAGGCAAGTTGGCGAGCATAAGCGGAAAAAGTGGCTTGATAATCTGAAAATTGTAGCATCAGTACTGGATCGAGTAAATTGTGAGCAACGGGCATTTGTTTTATTTAACGGCATGGAAGTGACAGACCTGAAGATATGTACGATTTATTCCAACCGGTAATTTATAGAGCACACAGAGATTGGCAGGGCAAAGGAGAAACCTGAAAAGAAGGATGATCGGACATTTGTTTTATTTAACGTCATGGAAGTGACGGACCCGAAGAGATGCACGATTTATTTCAACCGGTAATTTATGGAGCACCTAGAGATTGGTCGTGTACGATCTCTCCCAACAGAGGAGGTAGCTTCACAATTCCAAAGCGCTTGGTCCTTCGGTATCTCTATGGTGATGTTGAAGCAAACGGATGAACCAGAATTTGAGTAGCTTACAAAACGCCTATACTTGTTAACTTAGCCACCCTAATAGTTCCCTATGCCTGGAAAAAAGGCAGGTTTGTTAGCTATTGAAGCCAGGGAAGGATGTCAGTAAATGTTATTGAAGACGCTTGTGATCATCAACACGGATGCCGGAGATTGTATAGCATAATAAGAGCTTTACATGCCATTTCCACACATATCAGCAGAGGACTCAGACAGAACAGTGAGGGTGGCGCTTGATTTATCAAAAGCTTTCTCTACGTCATACTGTTTGAGAACATTGAACACACCGCCCTCCGTCCAAGTTTAAAACATTGGATCGTTAGTTACCTGTATAGACGTCAAGTCGTACGTGGAATTCAGAAATTAGAAGTCGAATGTCCGTGAGTCGAGTGAAACAGGTGATGTTGTGTGGGGTGATATTTCCGGAACTGTGTAACCTTTCTGGCATTTCACGCCCACCGGACAGCATTGAGTTAATAACGTACGCGCACGATTGTACGTTCACGGCGTCCAGAACCATTATTGATGTCATCTGCGATAGGTTGAGTAGTCATTTAGTTGATCTTAATGTCTTTTCCGTTGCGAGGGATATAAAAATATCCGCCAAGAAACCGATGACCACACTTTTCACCACATCGACTGCGGAGGTAAGGCTATCACTGAATGTGCAGGTCGATGGAGGTTTAATTCTGACCACCAATTACCTCAAGGTCTTAGGGGTCATATTCGTTAGCCTCTTTAAGTCGTTCACGTCAGTTTTGAAATAGAAATGTTTTCAAGTATCTGGCCGGCAGTACTCGGGGAGCTGATAAAGAAATCTTGTTGATCTCTTACAACGCAATAAGCTGGTCTGTGATAAACCATGCGGCTCAGGTGTGGTCCACCAACATATGTGCTACGAAATGGAATAGCATTCAGTGCTGGCAGAACGCTGTCCTTAGAACTGCAACAGGGTGCCTTCTTATGACACCCATTGACCATCTACATAAGAAGGCGAAGGTCTTACCGGCGCGGTGGCATAATAAAACATTCAATACTTGCTTAGATGTTGTAAACCCGGTCATCCTCATCACCACCTGGCGAAAAAGACAATTTCCATCCAGGCAAGTAAGGAAAGACCTTTATGATCTATAGAGAGAGGCACTGAGATATAAGAGAGAGAACCTGTAGACCAACAAGCTAATTTTGATAGATATTCCCCAGCAACTACCAGAACCAAAAAATACGGCCAAAACAAACTGTTACCTATGCGTCAAAAGTATTTCCTTTAATTCTAACTTCTTTTTTCAAAATTTCAGGAAGATTATTTTTATGCCTACGTCCTGTATGCCATGAACAATCAGAGATCTCTGGAATTGTGTAATGAAAATAAGAAGTTCTTCAAGGTATGAAATGACAAGAAAAAACTTGAATTAGACAAGATATTTATATAAATTCTCTCTGTCTTAGACAATGCAAGCGAAATGTGAGGATAATTTGGGTATCAATAGTTTCCTGCTACAACCAATACAACGTATTCCAAGGTACTCGCTGATGCTCAAGGAATTTATAAAGGTAAGTAGATCGGATGGAAAAAAAAGCTTTCATGTAAAATATATAAGACATGCAAAAAAGTTGACATTTAGAAGGCTGCTTGGGCGCCACTCTGCATATGTCCCTAACAAGTTATTTCCTGCAATTTGTTTTATTTCCTTTTTTATTTTTCAGAAACTATTCGATAAATATCCCATGAAACCCCTCATCGATTCCTGTTGCCGTTTGGATAGACGTTTACAGATTCTCCTGAATGCCATTAACAAATCGGAGGTTATAAACGATGTGGATTGTATTAGTGAAACACATGAGGTTTGTTTTTTTGCATTGCAATACCTGCGCAGATTTACCATATTAAATTTATTTCCCTTTCCGCAGTTCAACATTTTCTATCAGGGTAAATTTCGCGATGTGGCCGAATTCAATTGCCACGATTTCACACTGAAGCGTAACTATCGTTCGAAACTTTTCATCTATGAAAAATGCATTATCTACACGGAAGTTAAGCGCAAACAGTTGGTATTTCGTGGCCGTTATCCCAGAGAACATTTGGGCATGACCATGCAAAATAAATCCTTTACTTTGTACTATGATCGCCTGAAGCAGCAAGAGTGTGAATTTGTAGGCGATCCGGCTTTGGTGAGACAATGGCAGGATTTAATACGTGACATCATCAATGCCTATGCGGTGGAGGAGAAGGCCCGCCTGCAGGAATTACACAATCCAGAGGTGGTGCATAGGCGGCAAAGACGTGCAGCAAATCTATCATTATTCCGCGATTCAAATCGCTTTAGCACTGATAGTGGTATTAGTAATACTTAAATGTTATAGTAGGTTTACATTAGAGCGGTTTTGCTGGATTAAAACATCCTTAGTGGGGATTTATTTGGCATTCATGCCATGTAATTGGTAATATAAATCCATAAGGTTTAATAAATCCGGAAAACTGTAAACGTTGTATTAGATACACAAACTCATTATCACATTCGAGGCAGAACTTTATCAGTGATCTGAAATAAAAGAACTTTCTTGGAAATGTGTGCGTGCGTTTTTTTTTTTTTTTTTTTTGGTTTGACCATCTAGAGATGGGAATACACAAAGCCCTTATTTGGCTGGCTTAGGTCATCGGCTGGCTTCTTCGGATATAAACAAAGAAGCCTAGGGCCAAAATGGAACTAAGTCAACCCTTCGGACCCTTTTACGCCTCAAATATTACCGATAAATAAATTTTTACATGTTTTATGCTATATCACCCTTATCGCGAAAATAAACACCCTCTCGGAATGAGTTCTCTAATCACAATCGCCCATTTTTTCACGGGGAATGTGGCAACTTCGAGAAAAGTTCCCCCTATCGTGAACGGGATTTTAAGGGAATTTTATTCGCCATTTTTTATACCCTGCACTACATAGTGGATTATGTTTTTGTGCATTTGTTTTTAATGTGGAGAAGGCAGCGAGAGGATCTTCATAGAATCACTTTCTGAGTCGATGTATGCATGCCACTCCGTCTGTTCGTCCGCCCGGCCATGTATTTTTCTGAACAAAATGCGGTCGCATTTATTACCCGATTGAGATGAAATTTTCCAAACAATAACTGTTTGGCTCAAGGACGAACCAGAATCGGTTTAAATTTAGATATAGCTCCCATATATACAGGGTGACATGAAAAAACTGCAGCCCATATCAGACTGCTGTCATTTCTAAGTCACACGTCCGATAGCTGTTAAGTGTTCCAGTGACAGCTCATGATATTGTTTACAAGCATACAAAATCAGTTTGGTGAGAATTTTCTAGAATAAAAGTTATTCGTAATGGAATTCAAACGTGATAGTGTGATTTTTTTTATATTTGGCTTGAAAACCACAAGTGGCTATCGTTAGAGCACTCCAGTATTTAAATGTTAATAAATCTTTTGTGTCGCTCGTTACTTGTAGCGTAGCCCGACGTCAAGGAAGTGGACGGAAGAAAACAGCAACATCAGCAGAAATGGTTCGAGAAGCAGAGAAGCTACTTGATCGAAACCTGCATCGCAGTGTGGCCGAAAAATGGCTCGTGAGCTGAAAATATCGCAATTTTTCATTCGGCAAAAATTGAAAAATGAGCTCTGGGTAAAAAAAAAGTGCAAAAATTTACACCGTAACAGAAAGAAAATAGACTCAAAAGAGCTAAAGAGTTGCTTCTCTTGGCCGAAAGTGGTGAGCTGCCGAATTTGGTTTTCTCCGATAAGAAAACATTCGTTGTCCAGCAGTTTGTAAACAAACAAAATGATCGTGTTTACTTGCCAAAAAGGTCAGCTGAAAATGTGCACCTCCGGTTGGCCACCAGTACTCAAGCGCCGGCCATGGTGATGGTGTGGGCAGTAATAACAGCCGATGGTCGCTCTCCGCTCGTATTAATCGAACGTCGACCATCAGAATAAATGCCGAATATTATCGCGAAAATCTTCTGGAGGGTGTATTAAAGCCTTGGGCACGCAAACAATTTGGCCGCAAACCCTGGACATTCCATCAGAACTCAGCACCTTCGCACTCAGCACTAGCCACCCAAGAATGGTTACAAAATGAGGTTCCTCGCTTCATTTCCAGCGCACAATGGCCACCAGAATCTGCGGATACCAATCCGTTGGACTATTGAGTCTGGAGTATTTTGGAAAGCAAGGTTGGCACAAAACAAGTAAGCAAAGGCTACAGTCGAGCGGGGCCGACCATTGAATACCCTACAACACTATAATAAACCTTACAGTTTATATAGGCGAGATACTCGAAAAAATTCCACAAGATTTTGTGTCAGAAGTGCGTCTTTCCTGTATTTGTGAATTCTCCAAAAAGTCACTGGAATGGACATTTTCGTATTTTGTCTACAAAATTTGGCAAACTATTTCACACATTGAATATTTTTGGATGGCCATCCAAAACTGCTTGGCTTTTGTAATGTCCGGCAACCCCCATTCAAATGTGCGTGAGGATCGGGCGATAATTACGACCTGCAGACAATTTTGCATTTTTTTGGTCCATTTCAACCCCTAAATATATGGCGATCATCTCCAAAAAGAGTAGGCTTCTATTCTGAACCTCATCTTATCTCCATGCAAAATTTCGTAAGGATCGAGCCATAAATGCGATCTGTATATGATATCCTGATATCCTAACTACTTAGTTTTGTTAGCTGTAGAAATATTACCAAATGTTTAATTCAAAATGAAAATATGCCAAAAAATATGACAAAATTTGAAAAAATATGAGAAAATATTACAAAATCAATATTTTCATCTTTAGAGAGATATTTTTATGCGATTTTTTAGACGTTGTTTCTTTCTTGCCAAGAGGCCATTCTGAATTAATGAGAACTGTCGAAATCAGTTCAGCCGTTCTCGACATATAAGAGATCTTTCAAGCATATCTTCTTTGATAGACATATAGATTTCACACATTTTGCTATATATCCGATTTGTTGGATGTTAACATCAATGTAAAGATCAGAAGTAACCTTGTCATGGCTTTGTGAGTTCGCCGGGATTTAAAATATTCGCGGTTTAATGAAAAATTTTGAATTTTTTCAACACAAAAGATATGGTCTATTTTACCCGCTAAATGTTATCCGATGACCACCCAAATTGGTAGGCTTCTTCCCCGCCCTAAACTCTAGCTACATGCTAAATTCCGCGTCGATTGGTCTATAATTGCGACCTGTATAGCTACTGCAAAATCCGACATTTTTTCAGTATTTGGTCCATTTCAAACCCTAAACATTTGGCGATCATCATCAAAAGAAATAGGGTTCTATTCTGATCCCAGTCCCACCTCCATTCTAAATTTCGTGAAGATCGGGCCATAATTGCGACCTGTAGAGTGATTACAAATTAACATGGACAGACGGACAGACGGACGGACGGACATACATAGCTAGATCGACTCAGCTCGGCGAGCTAGGAAGATCCATATATACTTTCCTATGTGGGAAACCAATATTTCGAGGTGTTACATAATTTTTGGGCCAATCAAACTTGTAATACCCCCAACACATAGTGTTGTAGGGTATAAAAATTCCAAAGTGTCGATCTCCTCAAGCAAGCGCTTCGCCGGAAATGGGCCAAAATACAGCAGAGCAACATTCGGGCAGCGTGTGTGACGGTTTCATTGGCCGATTGAAGTCCATAATTCGTGCCAAAAGCGTTCAATTCGAACAATTCTAAACTTAATCTAAGATTTGATGCTATTTTCGACATTTTTTGCTTTCATTCAATAAAATTAAAAAAAAAAAAAAAACAGCAAAGAAACAGTAAGTTCGCCCGGCCGAGCTTTTAATACCCTTCATCTCCATTATGACCCACAAATACCAATTTTTAGACATATTCGTGGGATAATGTGGCAAAAATCATTAAAATATTGAATATCGGAAGGTACCGCTATATGGGGCTATACAAAAACGTGAACCTTTACATATAATGTTTCCCTTACGGAGCTTGAACCCATTAGGACACACAAATACCTATTTTTAGACAAATCCGCAAAGAAATGTGGCAAAAATCATCAAAATACCGAATATTTGGAGGTACTGTTCTATGGGAGCTATACCAAAATGTGGACCAAGCCGCCAGAAACCATTATGACCAAAAGATACCAGTTTTTAGACGAATCAGTGAAAAAATGTAGCAAAAATCATTAAAATACCAAAAATCGCTAGGTACCGTTATATGGGGCCTATACCAAATATATATATATATATATATATATATATATATATATATATATATATATATATATATATATATATATATATATATATATATATATATATATAGATATATCTAATTTTTAATACCAACCATCGTAGACGCAATACAAATTGTTCAGCTAAATTTTGTCGCTCTACGTCAAATAATGTGGGGTGTATCGTGATTTCAACAGACAGACGGACATCTTCAAATCGAATTTTATGCTGATAATATATATATACTTTGTGGGGTCTAAAACGAATATTTAGGGATGTTACAAACGGAATGACAAAGTTAATATACCCTCCTTTCCAAGATGGAGGGTATAAAAATGTAAAAATTATGGCTTCTTTGTCGATATATGCATGTCAGTCCATGTGTATATATCTTCAACCAATTTCGGGTTAATTGTACACCAAATGGCTAATATCAGTCCAAATAATCTCAATTTTGGCAAATCCGACCAAATTCAGTCTAGAAACAAGTACATCAAATTCGGTTCGTATATAGCTATAGCTCCCATATATAAGTTTCATCCGATTTGGTGTTCAAGTCCCTCACATGCGTAACATGCACTCCACAGCAATGATATTTGATACCGGACATCAGATAGTGCTCGAAAATCCCTCTGCCCAATTTTGATTGAGATATTATTATGTAGCTTTTACGGTTATTGCTCAACATATATGTAACATCAGCCCAAATTGAATAGATTTTTTAATATTTAACCAAATTTTACCATAAACTCGGTCCTGTATATCTAATTCTCCAATAAATTCTCCAATATAATTTAATTCTTATCGATGTCATATCATGCACTACACACCAATGTTGTTTGGTTCAGAATTAGTATGATCTACTTCATATAAATTCCCAATAGGGTAAGTGTACCAATAGTCGGCACTTTTAGGATTTTCGCGTTTTTAATCGCTCACTATTCTGAGTGGAACTTTTCAATTATTACAAAGTTAATTTATTCAGATTCGAAATTTTGTATAGTTTTTGCTATAATAAATAATGTTTTAATAATTTTTTATTAAATTTCATAAAATTGTAGTTTTATTTTTTTTGCCAGTAGTCGGCACCACTTGCTAATTTTTTTTCGTTCGGTCCCAACGCCACTCTTACCCGCCCCTGCCGACCGAGGGGGCCACCTCCCAATACGTAGGGAGCGCGTACACCCCATAGTCCGCACCATGGAGGGTTAGTATTGTAGGGAAACACCAGCTACAGTAAAACATCAGCCGGTTTTAGTAAAAGGATTAGTATTACAAATCACACACAAC